AAAAGCATAATTTTTAAGCCAGAACTCCGAAATAACGGCCAGCGTCTCACACCTTTCTGTCTAAATACGTGACGCTCGGGTGATATTTATTTTTTTAACAATTGTACGTTATCGCAATTGTCCGGAACTCTTTAGAAAATGCTTCTGCATGTTGAGATTTATACGAAAAGTATAATTTTTAAGCCAGAACTCCGAGTTGTTTGTTTGTAGTTTAGCTCGATCTGTTATTACATTAATAATTACTCTGTATTTATGTTTAAATAATTTTTTTTGGTTTTAATTTGACAGAACTCTTTATAGAACTCTTGTAGAACTATAAATCTTTCAAAATCTTGCATCGGCGGACATCGGAACTTATTTAGGACAAAGTGAGACGCGGCGTGAACTTGGCGTCTCACTTTGTCCGAACCGATTTTTTTTGCTTTAATGAGCAGAACTATTTGTTTAATTTATCAGGAACTCTAGAACTATTCGAAAAGAAGTCAGAACTCTCAATAATTTGTGAGTTTCCGCGAAATGAGACGCCAACTTCACACACTACAAAAGTCCTTTGGGAGTACGTATTGTTAGCTTCGATTGCTCTGATGACTCGGCCTGTGGACAAAACCCTATCATATAGATCGTAACCATTTAAATTATCATCCTAGGACTCATGCTAGACTCATGCATGTATTAAATAGCATTATGAATACTGTTGATGACAGCCGAATGTTATATTAAGCATGTTAGCAAGCTGCGAAAAATCAATTATTGATATATACTCCTTATTTATCAATTATTGATGTCCTTATTTATTTTGTACACATGTATAACGCGTATATTAAAAAATATTTAATATTTATCTGATCGAGACAAATATAATTTTGACAAATGTCAGAATCTGAAAAAACATTTTGTTATAAGAATGCATTATATTAACGCAAATTAACATATTTATATATTTTTATGTATTTTTTATAAATATTGTCATTTAATTAAAATATATATAAACATATTGACATTTAACCGAATCTAGTTTAGTTAAATGATAAAAAAAAAAACAAAAAAAACAAAGAAATATAGAGAACTTTGATTGATCATGGAAAATGGGGAACGTATATATCTTAAAACAATCGGTTTTTATTTATATATACGTTTTTATATACGTTCTTCCGGCTCGTCCTACAATCAACATAATATTACGTGTTATAATTTTACGGGCGTTGGTCCTACATCCCTTTTCCCCGGATTTTTATTGCACTCGAATGAAGCGAGTCGCGTCGTTCGGGTTCAACATCCCTAAAGGTCTATAGACTCGGACTGAGGAGAAACCCTGAGCTGTACGCTGACTTTTATACTCGGGTCGGGCTTTCCGCCACTTCTCCATCGGGCAGACAGATCGATTTCTCCGGCGCCCCCTTTGTTTCCTCGACCCAGGCCATCCTGCGAGAGTCTGCTGGGGGGGGGGGGGGTTCATATATCGAATGTCTTGCGTTCTGGAGTCTGCAATCGGCATCTTTACGACTGTAGTTATATTGTTCGCACTCGCGGTCTATAAACGAGCGGACGATCGATAACGCCGTCAACGTTGTCAACGTGTCGATATATCGCGCTGTAACGCTCGCGAAGAAATGTAAGAATGTAGTTATCAGACTGCGTTATTTATTCATTCACGTACGATGTGTGCTGAACGTGCAAAATCGTCAGAGTGCTTTACAGTACACGTATTTCTCTTTTCTGATAAAAACTTGGAAACAAATTCGCAACGTCGATATTTTCATCGTAACGATGTTAAAAATTGCGTCACTTCCTTCGTGTAAATGTTTTTACGATACGTTTCTGCTTGTCGGGGCAAATAGATATTGGAGCGTGTAAAAGCTTTACAAAGTGATGTAACTCACGTGCCAACGTACGTCGAAGTTATGTGACTTTATTATCGAACTCGACATATTATATCATTTATGCGTTAGTTTTCTTGCGCACCTGTTCGATATACGTATTTATTTTTAAAGTTCATAATTATGAAAGGCTTATCCGTAGATTGTATAATCCTGTCCTCTACCACTAGTCTGTCTCACCTACAAGAATAGCAATAAGCAACCTAGTAGTGTCGCGTGTTTTAAATTGCATAGTTTTATTGAAATCAGACCCACCAGGTATCTGATATAAATAATATTTATGACCAAAGTCGTCGCGTTTAATCGCGTATCTGATAATCGCATCTAATCGTCATTATTCAATCTCGCAAATCGAAAGTTAGTATTAATTAAAATCCGATGAAAAATGTGGCTCAACGCTGAGAGAAGAAGACGATGGCGATGGAACAGCGAGATATTGCCGAGACCTGGGTGTATTTCAAGCGGGAATAAAACAGCAGCGCGTGCCGGGCCGCGTTCTCGCGTTAGCCGCGAGACTAATGAGAGATTAAAGCGGCGTTTCCTTTCCTCGCCGTCGGGTCGATAACGCTCGCGTTATTCCGCGAAAGTTGCGTGTTCAGGCCGCTCCTTCGCTTTCCACGGCAAAGCCGTTCTTCCATTACATCTGGTTTCTGGTTTCTCGAGGCGAGCTCTCGAAGCGCGTCGAATCTCTCTTCGTGAAATAAAATTTTAAAAGGTTCTAGGTCGCGAATTTACGTTGTATTTTTACAACGAATTGTCTCTCCGTCCGGAGATTGCAGCGGAGATCGTTCGTTCAAGAGCGTTTCGCAAAGATCGCGACGCGAGACAAGAAATCGGGCAGAAATGTTCTTTCTGACATCAGAAGGGTTCCTTCTGAAATTGGATTGAACTTTTGGAGTTACGGAAACTTTTGTGACGCGACGAGCAGGTAGCAGTCGCGAAATTGTTTCCTCGGGTCGCGAAACGTCGCTGAATACTTCACAAACCACGTGGTAAGATACTGGTGTAATTGTCAGGAGTAGCGGACGGGCTGTAATTATATCGCGTAATGGGAAGATGTCTCGTGGGAGCCTGACATTACAAAACTGTTTTTTTTTTTTTTTAATGAGAGAAAGAGAGAGAAAGCTTTTATTTCTGTCGTACTCTAAATGAGACATGGGTGTGTAACATGCTTATATAATATTTTATCAAGATATTTTATTTTAATAAACGATAATTATCATGCCTGTTTATTCGATATGATCGATTGTTATTTAGGAACTGATTGATTAATAATATGATTAGCGTCTTCATACAATAGCATAATATATTGTTACGACATGATTTCATATTACTAATTGAGAACAGTGACATATATACAAATGATTTCAAGTTAAATATTCAATCTTTATAATTCTCGTAGTTTGTTGTGCGTCCGTAAAATCTTTTATAAAATAAAATTTTGACGAAAAAAAATAGAAAGCAATTTATTTGCCAAGATATCTTCGAATGTCTTTATCGATAAACAAAGATTTAAAATTTATTTTCTATCTAAAGCTTGGAAAATATTTAACAATATCTAATTTTAATTTATTATTTTATTTTAAAAAGTTTCATAAAATTTAATGGATTGGATAAAATTTAATGAAATGATTTAATCCTAAACTAAACAGTTTGTTCAAAATATTTTGTTATCTCATCAGGTTTGTAGTTCACCTGCCATTTGCTTTACTGATTTTGCTCGTTTATCTTTGTACTTAGCGTAACTTTCCTTACCGCAACCTCTTCATCGCTCACGTCACGAAGACTCTCGTCTTCGTTGTATGCTTCATTAGCTAGTAATCACGGGAAATCTGCTCTACGCTAATTGCCATCTTATCTATCTCATATCATGTTGCTTATCTTTACTGAGATCGCTATTACGATTTTCTAAAAATAAGTTGCAAAATAACAGTCGCATAACAACAATGCGATACTTCGCGATTTTAACTTGTAATCAATGTGAAAAAAATGAACAGATGCAACAATGAATAAAATTCATATTTATTTTTTTATAGACTTTTTTGTGTACATTTAATGTAATATAAAGTTTCATTTCTAAAATATTCTTTAAAGTGAAAACATGATTATTATTTGTTTCTAATTATTGTTACAGTACGATTATTATTTAAGTTTCGCTCATTTAACGAGCATCATCTCGTTATCTTAATATTTCTTTTTTATTAATAAATTACGAATATAAAATTTTATATATTATTCTGAGCTTATATATAAACGTCAATAATATTGACAAGAAATCTGATGTGATAATTCAAAAAATAAATAACAGTGTCCGACGGAAGTAGAAAAAATTCCATCTGGCAGAGGAATCAAATTACCTAGCAATATTTCTGTAGGATTAAACGACACATCAAAAACCATCGCTGACACCGCTTTCCAAGAATAATAATCTCAGGATATTGAATTGTTGGCACGCGTTGTGATCGAAACACGTATTAAACGCGTCCGATTGTCCATGGTGTGCGTTGTATTTTTTTTTTACGAGTCCGGGCAATCTCTCGGGCCATTTTTCACTCGTCAATCGACCCCTGGAAATCGCGACTCCATGCGTATCGGACCGGTCAGCATTATTTCCGCGTCGGGCCACAATGGACCAGTTTTCTCCCGATGCCGTTCCGAGCATGTCCGATCTCGCCTCTCTCGCCCACAGTTCTTTTCCCCATTCACCTGTTACCCATCCTACTCTCTCGCCGTTTCTCTCTCCTGTCTCCGTACAGGCTACCTGACGATAGACAGGATGTATCGCTCCGAGTACGCCCCGGGCGCGAATCGCATGCCGTGACGCGCGTGTTGTCCCCGGGAGACAATGGGCCCGCGGGTGCACTCGTGTGCCCCCGATGTTCTCGGAACTTTCGAGCGGAAGCGGCTTCGCAACGGACGCAACAGACGCAGCGGACACGTTGGAATTCAGCCGTTCCGCGGGAACGACTTTTGTAAAACAAAAAATTCACGGTGCGGTGAAAAAACGTGCGTGTAAAAAAAATTTACGTGAGGGATGATCGATCGGATTGTGAACCGACCCCGTGCGATTGGAGAAACGCAGGCGTTACCGACTCGATATTATTTTTCCCTCGACGTGGAATTATTCTTGGCGAATGAATGTGGAAGTTGCGACGCGCTCGATTTTACGCTCGTTCCTCTCTCCCGGGGGGCCTCGCCGGCTCGCGCGCGCGCTCGTGAAAAATGCAATTCCAGGTGCAACACCGCGGTAATATCCCGTGCTCGCGCGATGTCACGCGCGTTTGAAATATTCAGGGGGGCAATGCATTAGCGGCGCCGGCGCCGTGAAAAGCTCCCGTGAAAAGTTACTAGGCCGCCGGGATCTCCCCGCGTGGTTTCCGAGGGCTCCCGCGTAATTTCACCGGCGACGAGCGGAGAGACGACGATGAAGCGGAGGAGCAATGGGGCGCGAGGCCGATAAATCTCTCTCGCGGAGAGACAAGAATGAAGGGATACCGCCGTGGACGTTAACGGACGCCGCCGTGGATATCGCCGTGGAGAGCGCGGGAGTTTATTCCCTTCTGATAAATTCACTCGAATAGGACACTTGTCTCGTGCGTTCCGAGGAAAAGAGGAACGCACACGAGAGGCGAACGTACTCTCGCGAGGGAGGTCGTTTATTCGGCATGGGGGAGTAACGTCGGAATGCGCAATCGGAAGTTTGATTTATGGAGCCGGTAATGACGCGGTATTACTATCGCGTTTGGCCCGCGAATAAGAGCTCTTAGTTTTCCTCCTTTGTCCGGGGGACTGGCCGTTTTATTCGCCCGTTTAAAATAAACGAGTCGCGGCACGGCTCCATCTCGGTGCTTCCTCGTCGTAGCGACGTTTTCACGGCGGGAATTTAAAACAGGCGCGATTATATGGCGCGCTTTCGTGTTTCTCGATGAAAAGTATGTACCTTTTTACCATGTAACGAAATTGAAAGTTTCGTCAGCCAGACGCGAGCGAGTTCGTCGGGTTTACCCACTCGACTGGATGGACCACACGATTATACTCGTAGCCGCGGGTGAATTGAACATCACTTCGCGACACAGAGACAATACCTTTTATTTCCCCCCCCCCTCTCCCCTCGTCCCCTTTGGTGCACCCTGTTGAGAAGTTTCCCTCGAAACTAATGAAATTTCTCCCGGGAGGAAGGACGCGGCTCCCTTCGGTCGAGCGATAAACGCCTTTCGACGTTGCTCAGAGTCAATCAGATTGCAGTCTCCTCCAATGGAGAAAGAGCACGTCGGATGCTGAATGGAAGAAAGTTTGGAAACAAGTTAGGAGGGAAATTGAAGCATCGAGACATGAAACGGGACAAAGGATTTTGATGACTTTGGAAACAGAATGTTATCGCCGATAACAAGCGATAACATTCCTATTTGCGAATACTGCAGAAGACGTCTCGTCGGAACATGCAAAATTGTTGATAGTTGAGGAAACTCTATAATACTTTTTTACAAATACGAATCATTTTTTTATATTTTGCATTCATTGATCAAAAGACCGTTATTTCAATTTAATTTATGAAAATAAAAGTGAGAAATTTATTCGAACCTGTGGAGTGTTAAAATTGCAGTGAGTGCACGAAGCTCTGATAAAAGTGAACGATATTCCCGCTGAAAAGGGGGAAGCCATTCTCTTTCAAGCCGGACGCGAAACGTTTTTTTTATTTTCACTTCGCCTTGCAGTCGGGCGGGATTCCACGCTCATGGTCGTGTACTTACATACTTACGAAAGCCGATATCGGTCGAGAAACTTTGCAGGAAGCTGGAAGGAATGGCAAGAAGAGTAGCAGGAGCAAGAAAGCCGGCGAGAAGAGGCAGGAAGGAAGAGAGAGAGAGAGGGATTATATTGGAATATATATATATATATATATTGGAAAGCAGGCTAGGCGGGTTTTCCCGCACCGAGATTGCGGCTGGGAGATTCGGGAAGCGGAAGAGAGGAGGAAATAGGGAGGAAAGAGGAGCACCGCCTCGACCTCTTGCGGTGCGCAAAACGAGAGAGTGCGGCGTTTATCGTAGGAAATACGTTTCCACGTTTGCAGCCTTGCCAAGGCTGTGCTTCGTGATTCGAGCCGTACAAACCAGGGGAATGCGAGAAACCGCGCAGTATGTAATGTCTTACGGTAGGAAAGGATTAATTACTCGCCTTTTCCTTTTCTCCTCCTCCTCTTCTTCCGTCTTCTCCGTCTCACTCGCATTCGCGGAGATCCAGCCCCCTCCCCCCCTCCCCCTCTGTAAACGCGGGACTTTGCGCGACTGCTGCGAGAAAAATGCGAGCTGGCCAAGGAATTAACTGCGATTGCGGGCATTTAATAGTTTAACAGCCTGGCGGAGCTTAATGGTAGCCGCTCGCACGAATGTTTGTCCCTGAATTAATATTCGCGTGATGCTCGCGCAGAAAATTTACGAGCGATTTCGAGCGGAGAATAGCGCTGCGTGCTTCAATAAATAATGCGATATAGTTATACGCGTAAAAGGAGGAGATCTGTCTCGTAGGAATACGGGAGAACGATTATGATTTTTCAGGTTCGCACAGAATTTTTCCGTTTTTTTTTTTTTTTGCGCGAGTAAGATAGATGCGTATTTATCTATATATTACCATTCGTATAATCAGTATTTTGCTGCAAGATAAATGCTGACGTTTTTGAAATGGTAATTTTTTCTTTTTTTTAAATACAAATGAATATATTTTATTAAATTATATTTTTTAATAATTATTAAAAGAAGAAATTGTTCACGATGTTTCAACGATATATATGTTATTTCTAATTAACCGTATGCATTTCTCTTTTGCAGCTCATGTGGACAATGAGGTGTACTTAGGAAGAGCATTAGAGAGACTCGGCGATGCTGCTTTGAAGGAACAGGAACCGGACATAGGCGCGGCATTTCTCAAATTTGCAGTGGTCACGAAGGAACTGAGTGCCCTGATGAAAACCCTGGTACGTGTTCTACAAGCAAAATTTTTGTGTCAACGCATTATATGCAAATCACGGGATATTTCATACTTTCATTTCTGATATCTCGTCGCAACGCATGGAATATCTCTTGTCGCTTTTTTAATTTAATGTGTATTTTACGTGACGGTGAATATATTCCGGATATAATTAATTAGAATAAGATTTCGCTTAGAGGAAGAACGATCGATCGAAGAATGATCGTATTGTTGGTGTAATGGAAAAAAAAAAAAAAAAAACGTGGAAAGACTTTCAAGTGACTCCGCGATATGCGAAGACGAATTTCCCTGAAATCGCAAGCGTACGCGCTATTTTGCAAGCATTTTCACTCGTTGTATCTCAACTTTTACAATCATTCATCGACGCGGATATTAAAACAGCGACCGTAAAACGCGTCCTCGATGCGCCGTGCACGCGTTATTGGAAAAATCTCTTCACGGTCCACCGTCATCGATGGCAACGACCTGCGCCGCCTGGCGTAGTACGTTCTTCCCGTATGTACGCTAGCGTACGTGTAAAAATAAAATTTCTAAACCAAAAGCGATCAATATGAAAAGCGTGTGCCGGTGTGCGCGACGAAATAAAATTTCGCGCCCGCGGGCCGCGGAGATTGTCGATCGCGCGAGAGTCTACTTTCGCGATTAACGACCGATCATCATCATGGACCATGTTTTCTCAGGTGAGACATATGGCACTCGCTCCACGAAACAAGTTCCACCGAGACAATTTTCCATCGCATTGCTGAATTACACCTTTGAACCGATGCTATTGAATAGCATAACGCATATGAGATATCTGGGTCACGTGGTGAATAATGAATACGAGATGAATGTAAATTTGTTACGAAGATGGACTCTCGACTCTCCCAGGCTTGGTCTCCGTTCAACACTCAACCTTAACTTTCAGCTAAAACGAAAACATTCGAAATTTTATCTCGCTAAATTCTTTTAATTATTATCTTGTAATTAGTGATAGGCTGCTGATCGGAATCACTTTGATTGCACGGATACAAGAATCTCGAATCGTTTCAAATATTATATAAGAGATTTCGAAATAATATTTGAAACAATTTGAATCTTTGTATTGATTGGACTATTTGAAAATATTTAAAATAAGATTGTTTAAAATTTTTAGAAGAATTTGAACGTCTATCTTGCAATGTGTGATTTACATTGAGATTGCGTAATAGTCGCGTAAGTAACACTGCGAAACAAATTATGCAGAAACCATCTCGCGTTCTGCAAATTATCTCTATTACTATCATTACATGCATGTATCATACACAAGAAGATGAACACTTTGACGCGTCTTTTCTTTTGTCGAATATAATATATTCAATTTCCCGACTCGCTCTTTTCTAGTAGTAAAATAAAACCAACGCTCTATAAAAAATATATATTTTTTTTACTTACATTACTCGATCCATTATGTCGTCACTTTGTAACAGATGCTGAGAATCTTCACACTCGTATATTTTCACTTTTCTGACAACTAACTGCACGTGCATTACTATACGTAGACGATTGTACGAGAAAAACTTTCCGCGCTCGCTCGTAATTTTCTGCTGTAGAGACGACTTCTTTCATCTTCCTTTTCCTCGGACTCTGCCTGAAGTTGTCCGTTACTCCGGCAAATTAAGCAATTTAACGACTGTATTACATGAGGAGTTCGTGTTAACGGGATGTCTTCGTAGAGTCAAGCGATGTGCATGCTGGAAACGAAAGTAGCGAAATTTCACATAAAGAAATAATAATGAGTAATAATATCATGTTACAAAGCAGCATAATATTTTTCGCTTTCGGTTATTTTCTTAAACCGATTCAATGAAAATTTACCTTGTCTATTATATTAGCTGTCTAAGATAACACAAAGATTCATTGAGTATCAATGAATATTTTACTTTTAATACAAACTCCGATTCTATTCTTACATTTGTCTGATAGTTGGTGAAAGTAACATTTCATTATAAAAATTATTGCAATAATCATATTTGTATGATGTGGTTTTTAAATTTCCATATTTTTTCCATATTTTTAAGTTGTTATTTCTTGAAAAAAGTCTCCGTACTTGTGAAATAAAATTCATATTCAAATTCAGAATGTTTTTATTTTTAAATTTGTTTATTATATTTGCAATTGCCGCTATGTTCATCATCGATTTTCACGATACACCGATTTAAGAAAATACATCTGATAAACGACAATTTTGATCCACATGCAATATCAATTATAACTGTCGCATTGTGGTGGTTTTATTATTCGAGAAAATGACGAGGAAATGACGAGAAATTGTTATTGATGTCAGGAGAGAAGTGCAAATGAAACGTTTCGCGAAGCGTTTCTCCCCGGTTTCAATGCCAATAAATCGAACCAAAAGAGAGGCAGGAGGCTGCAATCGTCCGGGCGTGGATTTAGCGGATTTAGTGGATTCAAACTGGTTCTGCCGCGTGTTGCCGACGATTTCCTAAGCTATGCTAAAAAGCTATGCGCTATGCGATTAGCCCGCGCGGCACAAATCGGGACGTCTCACGCCGGTCGGATAATTACGTTTACTGAAGCGTGCACGGACGTTATAAGGCACGAGAGCGAGTTCCGGGGATTCTCCTAGATTACTCCTATCACGCATGAACGAATTTATATATTTATATTTATCGGCAGCCTTTGTAACGCTCGCCGCGATCGTCGCGGTTTCAGCGCGGCTGCCGACGGTATCGCGGATCGCAAAATACTAAATTCCGGCATTTAAAGCGCGACTTTTGTTTTCTTATCGCACCGAGTTCCGAGCCATTACGCCCGATCGCTTACAATCACGTCACATGTGCAATCGGTTAAAATGTATCTGCGTATCCGATATTGGCTTCAATTTAAGTCGCGCCCGGCGAGATTCGGAAGCATTATTATCCGACGCTCGAACCGGGAACCTCGTCGGATCGAATTGGAATCTGAGAATTAGCATATGCGATCGATTAACCGTAATTGAGATCGACAATAACTTTTTCTTATCGCTCGTGATTCGAGATTATCTCGGGAGGAAAGGGGGATATAATGAATTTATCGTTATCTCTAGTGTTAAAAGCTTGCTTGGAGAAGTAATGCACGGGGAAATGAAACTTGAATCATCCGAGAAATTTTATATCGGAGAAAGAAAGAAATGGAATTTACAGATACTCTGACTATTTTCTTGTGTCAAGTATTTTTTTTTATAAAAATTATCATGTATCAAAATATTTTGTGCGTGAAGCTAGTTTTACAGGAAACATATCGAGAGTTGTGGCTCTATTGTCACTTTCGTAGTTTCATATAAATTCACATAAAAATAGTTCTGGTTATTAAAGCGCCAATTTACCTGAGGGAAAACTGATACGATCAGGTTCACACAGTATCTCACTTTATTCCACGTGAATTCTCCTAATGTTTATTTGATGTTTAATGTTTGTTTATATAACGTGCATAAAACTACTAGCACTAGTAAGTAAACTAGTCAATAATAAAAAGCTTTCGATACTTTACGAATCATAAAATGATACGCCGCATATTATTCTTCCATTTTCAGAACAAAAAAATTAATATTTCTATTAACAGACAACATTAATTTACAGTAAAGTAATTATGTAATTAAATTTATATGAAACTTAACGATTATTATTTCCTCATGATTATTTCTGATGATATATAAATCTCTGCTAAGAAGAATAATTAGATAATTCTATTCGATGAAAAATTAGCTATTCAAATCAAAATTAATTAAATTAAATCCCGCTATTATATTCCAAGTGACTTTGTTTAACAAAGGGGATGGAGTTTGCCGCTTCCATTCTCGATTTCCTCGCGGGGAAGAGCCCCGTCTTTACTTCGCCGGTTGCACATTGCTTTCGCAGGCCCATTATGCGGCGCTTTTCCACGAGAGCCGAGAATCACGAAGCGGTCGAGGGATCGCTCCTCGATGGAGGAGGCTCCGAGAGGAAGTCGCGTTTCTATTCAGGGCGAGCGAGGCGACGGGCTAAGCAAAGTGCTGACGCGAATGTCGACGGTGATTCACTTCATTTACCGGCTCGGATAGAGCCAGGCGGTGGTGGTCGTCCCTGCTCCCGAGGAGAAGATCCCGAAGCCTCGCATTTTTCATCGCCGTTTTCCATTCGAATCCTGTCAGACCGGTTATTCCGATAAATAGATAAAATATTGCGCTCCGGTCAATCTAAAATAACTCGTGCTGCTCGGCGAAGATAAGGAAAGCTAATATTTTCACGTTTACATATAATAGATAACGGGGGGAGGGGAAGGGGGGGCGGCACCGTACGCCATACCGGAGTATTTTTATTAGCCGTTGTTGCACCGTAGATTTTTTGCGGTACAACAACACTCGGATACCTTCTTTGATCTATTTTCCTCATTTTCCCCTCCAAAAAAATCTTCCGAATTTTGCGTGACTTAGATCTAGTTGAGAATAGAATATTGCTTAACTCGTGAAAAGCGGAATGTTAATTATCAACCTTATAATTCTAGATGCAAAACATCAACAACATCGTGATGTTTCCATTGGATTCGGTGCTGAAGGGTGATCTTAGAGGCGTGAAGGGGGACTTAAAGAGGCCCTTCGAGAAAGCCTGGAAGGACTACGAAGCCAAATACGCGAAAATCGAAAAGGAGAAGAAACAGCACGCGAAGGAAGCCGGACTTATTCGTACCGAAGTCACACCCGCCGAAATTGCAGACGAGATGGAGAAGGAGAGACGGTTATTTCAGTTGCAAATGTGCGAGGTGGGTAATGTAGACCTGAACATGAAGTATAAACATGTAACATCAACGAGAGACATATGGATGCTATCGATGCATACTGTCGATGCATCGAAAGATATCTGGTCGTTTAGATACCGTTATGCGTCAGCT